ACAGCAGGGGAGTTAGTGGCAGGTTCTTCTCTCTGACTCTTGAATAAATCTCTGCTACGTTGCAGCTAGCTATTGACTTGGGTTCCTTTTTTAATCGCTAATGTGTTCTCTGGCATGCAGCCAGCCTCTACCGTTAGTACTATGTGTGCATGCAGTTTTTAAGATCGTGTTCCTTAGGGTTGAATTCTAATCTGATTTATCCTGCAGTACATCGAGTCTCCTGATGTGGAAAAGGAGGTGAAGAGACTCTTGAGCACAGACGCCGAAGCCGTCGGTGTTCGTATCCTTTATTTTTTGCTTTTATTTACCTGTCATGTTTTGTTGCCGCAAACCCAGTGTCACAACAAATCTAGATGCTAATGTCATTACTAATGTTGGATCGAGCATTGTGACTCATGGTTACTGTCATACTAAACCTTACCACCAGGTGGCAGACTTGCTCACAAATTTAATGAAGGGACTGTGCAAGACTTTCAGTTGTTTAAGCTTAGCATTACAGGAAAAATGTGGCATGAGTCACGTATAAATTTGTGGAGCTCAGCAGCACCAGTGGTACAACAAACAGCAAAATAGGCCTGTGCCAAAACTAAGAGGATGAAAAGATAAAGGGATTATTGATATATGAACCTTGACCCTGTGGTCAGGATGGGAGGTGATTGCTGAGGATGAGACCAAAGAACCTGACAACAGCTTATCACTGTCCAACCTGGAGTCGTCACCTGGAACCTCAGGACACAAGGGTCACGGCTCTTCAGGTGAACGATCTGAACACAAGTCTGTCTGCCTTATAGCTATATCTTTCTCTGTCTAACATGGTTTTATCCTAATATAGTTCAACATGATGAGCTACGCGAGATCTTCAACGACATCAGCAGCAGCAGCGAGGATGAGGACGAGGAGGGCGAACGGCACGACGACGAAGACCTTAACATAATGGACACTGAAGATGACATGGTCAGGCAGCTCCACGAGAAACTGAACGAGACCGAGGGTGACAGAGACGAGAATGACCGGAACAGTCAAATCGGTAGGATGGCGGTACACAAGTTGTCTGATCAATTACAGTACATTGTCAGGACAGCAGCTCAAGCCCAATTTAAAACCACAATTCAGTATCACAGGCAGGCAGACCGGCAGACAAACAAAAGCCGACCTAGATTAGCATTTGAATGATGAGCCTGCTGCTGTATTTAGGTCAGATGGGTTTACCGGTTGTCTGGTGGTGTTTTTACCCATGCCAGTAAGTGACAGACATGCCTGACCTTGACATCGTCCCACACACATTGGCACTTAGGGAGCTGCAGTAGGGAGTTTTGAGAAAACGTTGACTTAGCCTGCAAATTTGAACAAGCACAACTTACAGGTCCCACCCCCTTGCTCTCTGCTGCGCTACAGCACTCCCTCCACAGCTCCTCCCCCACAGCGGAGCCTGCCGTGAATGCGCAGGCTAGTAAACAGGGCCACCGATGACGGCGGATAAACAGATATGGCACATTCACTGGTAGGGACGAAACATCAACAATATGCTTTACATTGACTAAGGCCTGCCCATACTTTGACTACAAACTTGGTCCTCAAATCACTACGTATTTTGCAATACATGTAATGTAACTTTATAACGTTGCACCCTTTCTATAAGTTATAAATAGCTAGTAAGATAATATAACGGTAACTAACGTAACAGTATGTAAGTAATTATTCTAGCGATATGTGGGCCTAATGCTAGATAAGGTTTGCTAGTACATTATTTCAGCAACATGACAAGCCAGTGAATTAGCAGGTTTCAATTGTTGCTTTGCACAGTGCGTGACATTTTATCTACATGTTACGCGGCTAGAGTTTTGACGCCGAGTCAATGGGCTCTGTGTAATTCTTTCTTTTTCGGCAAAATGGTTTCGTCATCAGTCTTTTTCCTTTTACCCGTCTTTGTTTTATGAGCAGGTGCCAATCGAGAAATTGTCAGTTTAGGTTGTTTCTCCGCCATTAGCACAGCTGCGGCACACCGGCAATCTTGAGTTTGAACGACTGGTACGCGCTGTGCAAGAGAGGGGTGTGATCAGCGCGTACACGAGCGTGATTGACACTGCTAAGACATTCCTCCTGGCTCTGATTGGTTGTTTCTGACCGGGAGCGGTGTATTTCTGCAAATGGCAATAGGACCACTGGGAGGAGCCAGAGGAGCTTGATTTTTTCACAGATTATCTGTCTCATATTCTACTGTCAGGACATAATGACAGTTTTAACAAATATGTTATTTATTAAATATTTATTAAATACAAATTTGTATTCTTCAATGGAAAAGGTTTAGCTATAGAGTTACCTTATTTAGCTAGATATCTTGTTTCAGTATAGCACGATACACTTTTTATGATAAATAATATCCCATCCATTATAAATGGTATTATAAGTGCCATATGTTTTACAATGTAAGTCGAGTAGTGCATGTCCACATTCGTCAAGATTATTTCAGATATGATAAATAATCAGTCAATTCTTATGTATTAGATAATAAAATCATTACACAAAGGCGTTTTCTCAAATGTAGTTTTGTAAGCTTTTTTGAATTCTCAGTCTCTGAGAATGCAGAACATAAGAGGTGCCGTTTAGTATTTATGCAGGGTTGCGCGGTTAGAGTGTGAAGGATTCACAGATAATTGGGACCTTAGATTACATGAGCATTTGCAGATTAACTAGCTCTCAAAGGTAAAAGAGAGCTCAATATGACATCAGGGCCTGTGACTAAACTGATTGCATGTTAACTAGGGCTCATGTATAGGGCTCATAATCTCTATTTGATCTACAGTAATGGACTACCAGGTGCAGATCAACAATTTGAAGGCCAGGCTCCAGGAAACCCGTGCCCGCAAGAAGCAACAGGAGAAATTGATCATGGAGGTGGAAAATCAAGCTCTGAGGGTAAGTTTTCGTTTACCTGCACTAAATGATGTAGCGCTCCACTTTCTCTGGCACGCTACTTTGTGTAAAAGCTTAGTCTTGGTGACACTGTTTTTGTGCAGTACAGCTCTTTAAAATGGCCTTATATAAATCCAAAGAAAGCAAGGTTTTTTTGCCATAATTTTAAGGCATAAATATTACATTTCTGCCTTTAGCTGCTTTGGCATAACTCACCAGAAAAGCATAGAATTCATTGCTCTGGCAACTGCTCCATTTGGAGGATTTAGACACTGCGAAACGGGGTCAAACGTGTGGTTTAACAGTGTCACTTCGGTTAAACTGTGTGCACTACGCTGGCTACATTTGTCTGCGGTCATTACAGTCACAGCGGACAGGGAAAGGTCATGCACGTCTCGGCTCCATTCACAGGGTCATAATTCAAATAGATCTTTGTGCAAGCAGTTAAGACATTTACAAACGGCTAGCATCAAAACAGTGTACTGTCAGCTAGATAAAGTCTCTCTTTGCTTCTCCCCTACAGGATCGCTTCCAGGGTGCTTTGAATGGTATGATTCATCAAGAGGAACAAGAGATGGAACAGGTGAGCTTGCATACGAACCCAAAAACCTGCATGCATTTGAAACGGGTTATAAATATTTGTTAGATTAATCGCGATTTGAATGTTCTCAATATGGATTCTTTACCATTTTGACCAGTGCATTGTGATTCACAAACAAATGACTCTTATGAACCAGTTCTCTTTAGTGAATCGAAAACATACAGTGCAAATAGTCTAGTCCAATTCGGAAACAAATGGTTCATATCAACTTTTTAATGAATCAGTAACATGCAGTGCAACTAGTGTAGTCATATTCATGAACACATGACTCTTTTGAGTCTGTCCTTTTAATTAATCATTTAAAAAGATTTGCATATCACAGATGCCCAGCTAATAAATAAATAGAACGGAACTGCATAGTTTAGGCCCGGCTTTTAATTTTTAAATTTTTAAAATATGAATATTTTCCTAATGTACGAAAATATTCTGCTCCCTATATCATTTTCAGCAATAGCTGAGAGAGAATTGCTTTCATATGTATGCAAAATGAACATTATAAATTGAACTATTCCCAAATGAATTAGCATCTAATCAAATAGAATCTAGAGCTATTGTACTGAAATCTAATTTGTGTCGATACCCATAATGCATGTAGCATGCACAATCAGTGACTTATTCCCATTGAGCTTAGTGAGTTTATTTTCCATATCTAATATTGGCGAGTAAAAGAACTTGATACATATACATGCTTTACTTTTTTTATTTCTTTTTTATTATTATATTATGTTTTTTTTATTAACCCTTGGCCAATGTCAGTTTCTTCTGTCACTGTTTCGCCTAAACTGACAAATGGCCTGCTGGAAAAAGTAACAACGTTGGAGGTGTTGTTGAACATATTGCACTTAGCCTTCAATTATACCCCTACTGCTAGCCATCCATCACTGCTATTCTGTTCCAACAGCTGGCCTCCCTTCAAGAACAGCTGGACTCACTGATCGAGAAGTGATGCCCACGATTGCCAAGATACTGCAATGCAATGACTCTGACCAGAGGCGACTGCTGAACACATGACAGATTTTACTCTACTGCATGTATTAGCTGAATTTAAACATCCCATTTGTGTTGTGAGACTCTAAAATAGTTGTCAATATATTCGACTGATGCCTCATCACAAAAGTTTCTTTGATTTCTCAAATAAGATTGTGTATTTATACTTTTTTCATGTTGGATACACTATAAAGAATGTTTAGTTAACTGCAGTATTTCAAATACATTCATATTTGAAATAAAGTTTTGTTGGCAAGTTTCTTCTGCTCAAATTTGGAAGATGCTCCCATTGCAGAGGTCAATAAACTGGAAAATCGTACTAGAGACTTCCAGATCATTCTGTCTGCAGTAGTTCCCACTGAATTATACTAGCAAACTCTATTGCCTTCTAGAATGATCTCGACTGTCTCCATACTCTGAGTTCCGCTCTCTGGTCACCCATCCCTTCACTTCTTACAGGGGATTATACTGAAGATTCAGTGGGGTTGAAGGATTAGCCAAGGCAGATTAAAGTGGCTATCCTCAACCTGGTAATCCAGCCATCTGTCAGAAAGCAGCCAGGCAGCATTGGGCTGCAGGGTGTGATTTGTCTCCCTTTCTCAGCTTGCTAATTAACACTGCCAAGGACCAGCTCTCACAGGCTACAGGACATAAAGTCTGATTCAATACAGAAACACTCTTCGAAAGAGTTTAAAATGGAAGAGACATATCTGCTTGACCATCCTGGAGTAAAAAAGAAGATTCTGCATGGAGGTCAAGGACCGTTGCCACATTTTCCGAAGGGAACTAAGGTATGACGACACATATATGGTCCTGGATAATGCTTTTGATTGGTTATTTGTTTGGATGGATGGGTGCATGTTTAACCACTTTTTTGATTAGAAATGGTTGTAGCTTAATTCTATTGGTGATAAAATGATTTTAAAATGACAAAACATTTGGTCCATATAATTGCACAGAAGTTTGGCAACCTATCATTTTGGACAGCGGCTGAGGAACACCGTATCTGTGCCAGGTGACTTTTCTCCCCCCTACTTGTCCAGCCATATGCTCCTCAGCCTGGAGAGGATGACAAACATTTTCCATGATAATGCGGTGCCAACATTAATCTCTCTCTTACCAGCTGCGCTCTGTATTCGCTCTGTGTGCTTTCGTTCCATCAAGGTGTCTCCATCAGTATACTTTAAAAAGACTATACATTTAAATGTCTTATAATGAAGACAAAGTTGGACTAGGAATGAAGATATTAGGATGGCATCAGGAAAAAGACTTCCTGTCCTGCTTGAAAACCCTGAATTTCTCTCACCAACATATATGAACATGCACCAAGTAGCAAGTTACAAGATGTGCACGGTGTACTAAGCAGGAAAAATATCTCTGCTTTCTCTTAATCCTGTTTTTATTCTCTCTTTTTTCCCCTCTCTGCCTTCCTACCCACAAAGCTGGCGTTCCACTTCCAGACTCTGTTGGACAACTTTGAAAGAACTGTGATTGACGACAGTCGCAAAAATAAGCTTCCCACAGAGATTTTCGTGGGGAGAATGTTCAAGATGGAGGTGTGGGAGGTGCTTTTAACCTCCATGAGGATTGGAGAGGTGGCAGAGTTTTGGTGTGATGCCACTGTAAGTGTTTGAAATCAAACTAAACCTCTTGTTGTGCCTCCCTAAAATGCAGGCAAAAAGGGAGCAGATTATGCATGTTTTGTTTGGGGGGGTAAAAGGCTTTTTGATTAATATTGCTTCTTTTAATGAAACTTTCAACCACATTCAAGTGTTGATAAAAAAAATAATACTTCCAGCTAGAATAAAACAGTTTTTGTTTGTTTGTTTTAAAGGAGATGCTCTGTTCTTTCTTTTGATATTTTGCATGTTCAGATATTCATATAAGAAAATAATCAGGGGGCCATGACATTTTTGTGAAGATTATCAAAAACGCTGGCAGGGAAAGAGCTAATTAATCTTCACATAAGGCTGGAGGAGAATATATATATATATATATCTGATATATTTTGCGGTCTATTCTATTTTCCATTAACATTCTCATTTGCTGTTTTTATTCAAACACATGAAAGCAAATAAATAATCTATTCTGCAAGTCAAATGAGACTAAAGATTCCAGTTAGAAAAAATGTTGATCAAAAGGTCATGGTATGTTTGCTCCCCCTCTGCTGAATCTTTCAGCGCCATGGCAAAAAGAAGCTGTGAATGTGAGTTTGTGGCATGTATTGAAAGTGGTGCATTCAAAACACAATGTGCTACAAAAAACAAAAACAAATCTTTTGGCAAAATGTTTTCAGCAAAAACATAGTCCGATTCACAATCAAAATGATTATTCATGCTGTAATTAAAACGATACAGCATGATCAGGTCGGGGTAGTCTGATTCCTGAACAAATGACTCTTTTGAGTGAGTCAAAAATATACATTGCAAACAGAGTAGCTGTTTACAGTGTATCTGCTGTTAAAAGTATTATTTTAAATGTAAAATTTTAAAAATAACGGTTACCGATTTAAATCAGTCTGAACTGAATCGACCAGAGTGGTTACTGACATCTGTCAATCAGTATAATGAACAAAGTCAATTATTCATTAGCATTATGTTCAGTGATGTCCATATCACAGTTAGTGTTTTGCACTGATAGTACTGTATTGCTGCAAAAATAGTAGAAAAATGCTAGGTAGTTCAGTGGGAAACACTGTGATAATAATAGTTTTCTTTTTTTATACTAAGCACACAGGCCTTTATCCCATGGTGTCAAAAGGGATCCGACTGGCTGCTCAGGGAAAGGACCCTCTGGATGGCCAAAGACACATGTGTGGCATGGGAAATGTGTTTCACTACCACTCGACAGGTTTTCCGGAGCTCGATGAGATAATGAGGACACCTCAGCCTCTAATCTTCATCATGGAGTTAATCTCGGTGGGTTCACACAAAGCAAAGAAAACAAGCAAATACATACATACGCACCCTCGCACAACAACACACTCATTCTAGTTCCACTCCTCCACCATCAAGAGATTTCTCACTGCAACCCAAACAGCGTAACAGAATGTTACACAATCAAGTGCTACACGCCAGGAAAGAAATGCTGTTCCCAATTCTCAGAGCGCGTTTTCAATCCTCAACCAAGCGAGACGAGCACGCTCCAATTCTCTATCTTCCTCAGGTGGGCGACCCGTTCTCTTACCAGCGCGAGTCTTGGATGATGGAGAAGGATGAGAAGCTAAAGGTTGTACCCTCGCTGCATCTCTTGGGCAACGCTCTGGTCAAGCAGGGCCGGTTCCGTGAAGCTGCAGTGAAGTATCAGGAGGCTGTGGTTCTGCTGCGTACAGTCCAATCCCGGGTAAAAGAAAATCTAAATGACATGGGGGTTATGTAGAGAAAGCTTTAAGATACAACATTCAGTAAAGCATCTGATGAGTGCAGCTGAGTTTGTTTTCCTTCCGGTGTAGGAGATGCCAGGAGATGAGGACTACATTAATCTTGGCAGGCTTATCATTCCTCTGGTACTGAACTACTGCCAGTGCATGTTAGAGCTGGAGGAATATTACGAGGTCATAGAACATACAACAGAGCTCCTGGATAAACACAAAGGTAGGCCAGCTTGTTAGTATAAACCAAATGGTGAAGGATTGGCTGGTTAGCATGCCCCAATTTCCCTGATTGTAGATGCTGTAACTACACCATCTTTTCCTATTGACAGACATTCAGAACTAGCCATGCATAGAGTGCTGCAGGGATTGTTATTGCGTCCGAAATCGCATACTACCCTACTATGTAGTAGGTGAAAAACAGAATGTGCCAAAATAAGTATGTCCGAATTCACAATACTCATAAAAGTGTAGGCAACTTCCGCTGAGATTCTGAAGTGTGCATACGATGGACACTTTACTACCCATGAGGCCTTGTGAATGGCAGTGAAGCGACATAATGAAGCGTCCGGATTAAATTCATGCTACACACATTCATATTATATAAGACATACTTTTTTTAGCAGCCGTATTTAGCAGCTCAGAGTATGTGATTTCAGACACGGTCTATATATTTTTGTTGGACCACCCAGAAGTTAGCTTTACCTTGGTTCCCTCGACAAAAAAACGATCAGCTTTTGGATTATCGGATAAAATAAGCTCTATGATCAAGAAAAGTTGTATGATTCTTACAATTTTTGTTGACAAATGAACCCGACTTTTATACATTTTGAAGCCTAAATAAAATCTACAGTAAAAAGCTAAATTTATCATCGCATGACTTCAACGTCACCACCACTAAGCTTCCGAGTATAAACATAATGAGGCTGTTAAAGTGGACTAGTGAGTAGATGAGTTTATCTGTTTGCCATGATGACGTTTAATCTCCCAGTCAACCTCAGTAGTCCCATTTATCCACTTATCAGCAACCGCCTAATTAAGAGTATTGCAGCACTCGTTTTCATTAAATGAAATTCTTTACAAGCAACATTTAATGCTGTAATATTTCTTCATATTAGAGTAGATGTTTTGCCAGTGCCCAAGGAAGCAACCATGGCAACAGTTCACTGCTCAAGCATTTTCAATCATTATCAAAGCACAAGTCCTCCCATTATGTAATAGATTATTATTAATACACATCACAAATGTATCACGAAACATTTTAAAATTCAAGATGAGTTATCTAATGATGCTAGCGACCCCCAAAAGCAGTTTAGGACTTGCAAGATTAAACTCAACCAATGTTGACTTTCCAACATCAAGTCATTGGATTCTCAGGAAAATGACAACCAACACAAATTAGCCAGAGACATTTAGGTTGAGTTGAGGTGATGTAGACCAGCTTAGTATCAGGCCATCTTTTGAATTAGCCTTTGCTTTTTTGGTTATCATAAATAATCCAATTGCATTCACTTTCATAATTGTACTCGGCAGCATGCATAGTAATCTCCGTCCTCTGTGGTTTGGGTTTGTTTAAGCTCGGCTGGCTGCATGAGCAGAAGGGACAGGAGTTGGTCTGTGTAAGCCCTCTTGAAGCATGTGAAGTGACAGATGTATGGTCTCTCGCGGTGGCTCCAGAGGCAGTGTGGGTAGCTCTCCTAATGAGCCTTATGCATATGCAGCCGGCACAGTTCCCCTTATCGAGGACACTCTCCTGTTTCCCCGTCCCCTCTAATTCCCAGTATTCATTTCATTCTGCCGCGCCCCATGTGTCACCCACACCTTGTTGTCTGTTTCGGTTCAAATTTTCATCTTTGCTCTCTGTACCATTTCTCTTGTGTGTCACCTGGGGAGCACATCCTTTTGAAATGTGCTCACAGAATCTGCTATGTTTTTGCCAGAGGCTGATGTTGGCTGTGGGAAGTTTCGGCTGAGTTTAAGATTTAGAGAAGAGCATGATCAAATGAAAGCTGTTGAGAGCCATCAATTGGGAATCTTAGGCAGGCTCTCGAGCCCACTCAACTGTATACTTGGTGTCCAACTTGGGTTAAAACGGTTTTTTTAATGATATGAAAGCAAATAATACTACTTCATATGAAAATACCTCTACAGCCTTAGTAGGTAAGTAACAGGAAGAGTAACTTTACAAATTAAAGTCCCATTAATGATCTTTTCCAGACTGTGTCAAGGCCTACTACAAGCGAGCGAAGGCCTATGCAGCTGTGTGGAGTGAGAGGGAGGCCAGGAAAGACTTCCAGATGGTCGCCAACCTAGACATCACACTGTCTAGGTTGGTGCAAAGAGAACTGGATCTTCTCTCTGAGAGAATGAAGGAAAAATACTGGGAGGATAAAGAAAGGTACTGGAACATCTTTGGAGAGAAGAAAGAGAGAGAAAGGGAATCAGAGGAGGAGGAGGAAAACTCTGCGATGCCTACAAAAGAGGAAAGCAAGGTGGAACATTCTCAGTCCCCTGAATATGCTGAGGAGGGAATAAATCCATCTGTAGCAGGGGAAAATAAGCATGACACCAAAAGTGAAGATTCAGCAGGAGAGGCCAGTCGCAGGATAACAGCTCTGACCGAGGGCAAGGACTGGCAGCAGATGCTACGGCTAATTTTGCTGCTCCAAGATGAAGGCAATTTCGATGTGAAAGAGCATAAATACACTGAGGCGACTGTCAAGTTCAAGGAGGCTCTGGAATATGTAGACCATCTCCAAACTAAGGTGAGCCTGTTGACTGAAAATAACGATAAATGATGACCAGGGCTGCATTTCACAAAAGCATTGTTGATCGTAGAGACTATTGGCTACATTAGTTACCATTGGCTCATGATGCTTTTGGGAAATGTAGCACGGGTCTGTGATACACTTGATCGCTGTAGAAGGCACTGAGGATAAGTCCCACCATTTAAAAAAAAAATCAAAATAAATAAATAATATATTAAGAGCTTAACTTTTGGAATTGTAGCCAGCCTCATAAAATGTGGAATTTAAAACCATAAACCATGCAGAAGCCTCTTACTTCAGTAATGGACTGAAAGCTCGTAGCTGTAATCTGAAAAAATTTCCGCCCATTTATCTAAAAACTACTGGGTGAATGTAACATCGCCTAATTAATATTCATGAGCCAAGAAGATAACATTTATAATATGTCCTCACAATATTTTACATTATTGGGACCCAAGTGGTGCTTTCTAATTCAAGCATCACAATTACTAATGCGCAGTTGGAAAATTGAACAAAACCTAACCATAAGTACTATGGTCATGAATGAATCTCAAATTGTGCGGCTTGTTTAGGATAAGTATGCTGTGTGCTGTCATTTTTCATCAGAGTTTCGTATTTGATGGAGTGATCTGAACACTATGAAAGACAATATCATAGAGACATGGGCTAAACACCTACAGAAAACGCTGTCAAAAATGATTCAGAACATCTTTGTAGCTGCACAGTTCCATGGCAACACTCACATATTCCTCAGAACTTATAGTAATATATACCTTCTCTTATCCCAGGGGAGATGTACATTGGGGATCCAAAAATTACTTAGCAGGAACGACAGGGAAGCTAAAAAAAATCCCCATGGGGAATCTGCAACTCAGTGCTCACTAAACCATATCTATCTCTCTGTGTTTTTGAGGTGGAACATGAAGGAGAAGACTGGGAATCTCTGGAGAAAGTCCGTCTGCCACTCTGTCTAAACCTCAGTCAGTGTAAGCTGGAGCTTGGGGAATACCAAGAAGTGGTGGATCTCAACTCTAAACTGCTGAAGAAACACAAAGGTGAGCATATACTCATTCACTGCAGAAATTAATATAGGGCGGTTGGATAAGACTAGTCTTATCAGTTAGTCATCTCATTTTTTTCTTCAAGGCTGGTCATACATTTTTGTATGTGAGTTACATATAAATCATATATGACATACACCACGTGTCAAACTCTTTGGTTTGAGAAGCACTCTACGACGTAGACACTCATTTGGTTGTGTTTAAGCATTAGCAGCAGATATAGATTGCTCCTTCGCCACCCAGTGCAAGTCAGCCAAACACTTTTATTGTCTGTAGTAAAAACAGAGCCTTGAGCAATGTCAGTTAGCATATACACCACGTCTCCCTATAAGCAACCACATCTCAATGCTTCACTCTGTCAGTGGATCTAGGAAGTTGAGCCAATTGCATCATTCACCATATTGAGATATCCCTTGGTATCTCCACACAAAGAGCATAAACTGTTGTTTATTATTGTATGAATTATTTATTATGAAGCCAATGTGATGTGGCAGGGCTGTGCCCGGTTGCATAAAGCACCTTAAGTTTTTCCCTTAAGTATGATACTTAAGGGGCGATTTACCCTTACCTAAGAGAACAACTTAAGGGTGTTGCATATAATCTCTTAAACGGTTCTCTTAGGTAAGGGAAACATTTAAGTGTTTCACGACAGCGATCCTGGATTCACGTTATAAAAGTCTGTTGTTGCCATAGATACGCAAAACACTAACATGTCGGAATATCACGTGTCAGTCCAGTGACGCTATCACGCAACACCGCGTTAGCTCCGAACGTGGCGGCAGTTTGTGTTGTTCACCGTCTCATGCTTTGGCATTTGTTTAGGTTTTGTGAATGCACTTCTGGCTCTGTGTCTCGAAATACAGCTGAGTATATTTCCATAGCATACCTGTTTTCTTCTGTCATGATTCCTTTTAAAACACAGAATCAGCTCGTTCTCCTGTGAATTTTTTGTCGGCCACACACTCTCCGTGCGCGCACTGACTTAACGTTGTGATAGTTTACATGCGAGTCGCGTGTAATGACAGACAGACAGCCGTCTAGTTTGATAGCGATGTCAAATATTGCGCGTCGATCAAATCGGTATTCTTGCAACAATTTTTCATGGCTAAATTGGTCCAAAGGGTTCTCCCTATTCCCTATGATCTTCAGCTGGTTTCATAAATTCAGCCATGTCGTCTTATTTTTGTCCGCGTTACTCTTAAGGTTACGATTTCCAAACCTTAAGTTATACTTAGGGAAATTACCGTTAAGGGGTTTTATGCAACACTTAACGATTACTTAAGTGAAAAAACAGCATTTAAGGGAAATTCTAAGTGTTTATGACATTTCACTTAAAAAAACCGGGAAAATTACATTTAAGGTGCTTTATGCAACCGGGCACAGGTCTTCACTCTCTCGCTTTCATCTCCGCCGCAGACAATCTGAAGGCCATGTACCAGCGGGCCCGGGCTCACTCGGCATTATACAATGAAGACGAAGCCCGCAGGGATTTCACTAGGGTCCTGCAACTCGATCCCACATTCAAACCTATCGTCAAGCAGGAGATTAAGAAGATGGGGGAGAAGATCAGAGTGAAGTGCGTCAACGAAAACAAAAACTACTGGACGAGCACTCAGGAGAAGTTAGAAAAGAAAGCACAGGTCAAAAGGGGAAAGAAGACAAAGAAAGGTGTGACATGGGCAGATGAGAGTAAGATACCGGAAGGAAATGATGAAGGACATTCAGGCTGCAGTTCCAAATCAGAGGAGAGCTGCAATGTCAAAGCAGGTAATAATGATGAAGGACAGGATGAGAAGAAAAAAAGTGAGAACCAAAGGGATGAGAGATCGCTGACCTTGAAAGAATCAAAGGCAAAAACTGATAATACGGCTGCAGATAGAGACGGGGATTCAGCCCAAATCAATGTGCTAGGAGAGGGTACACAGAGATCAGAGACCGATAATGACTCGAAAACTCTACTGACCAATGACATTACAAAGAAAAATGATGGCCAAGATGAGATCACAGATGAAAAACAACAGTCTCCTGAAAAGTCAGACAAAGATGCAAGCAGTGGAGCATCAAGGGAAGAAAGGCTGACGGACATGACTGGAGATGATGAAACAGAGGAGAGCAATACAGCAGCTGAATTTATTAAGATGGAGAAGACTAGTGTCGAGGAACCATCATCTGCGAAACCTGAAAAATACACCAAAAAAGTCAAATGCAAAAAGAAAAAGAAATAGATACCAATATCATATCCCATTATCTGAAGGAAGACAAACCAGACCAAGGTGTATACAACAAATAAAAATTTATTTCTTTGTACACAATGAGTAGAAAGCAGCCAGTAACTCATTCATTTTTAAAACGCATTTTTGTTTACATTTTGTACAGATTAAAAACACACGAAAACAAAAACTATATAGTGTTAATAATTAAACAAATGACTGCATTGCACATGAAAATAACATATTTTGCAGGGAAACACAAAATGTTTGTATTAAGGTCATTTGAGCTGAAAACATCATGACAGTGTGTGTAATGATGATGCCACGGGTTCAGAGGTTAAGTCAGTAAATGCCCTGTCGCTTAGTTCAACATTACAAACAAGCCTGTGACACAACGGTCTGCTACATACAAACAAAAATAATGAGTGCATTTGTTAATGAGGCAGATGGCTAAATTTAGCTAAGGCAGCCCTTAGCAATGCTGTAATTTCACACAACCCACAAACTCAGCACATCTCATTTTTTAAGAGAACACAAGGGAACTATTATGAAACGAGTTAAAAAGATCATATTAAGGAATACTGATTTTACATAATGGAGAATTATTATATTTTGCAAATGGTATGCATATAGGATCATTTCTATTCAATGTATTACATAATGCTACATGATTTGCTACCATGTTGGAGCTCATACTTTGTAAAAAAAAAAACAAAGAAAATCATCTCCCTTTCTATAGGCTTAAAAATAATTTTCTAAATCTGTATTTCTGTCTTGTTTTCTTGTAAAATTATCCAAATGCCCTTTAAAAGGATGAATTTATTTAAAAAACATGTAAGATTTCATTACTCGTTTTCATAGACTATATCGAATCAAAGTCCCTTTCAAGGGAAGTCTGCTCACCTATTTCAGGCATCCGAGACCAAGTCCTATCTACTTGAATGGGGGAATCCTGCTCGACAAACTCACAATTAAATAACATTGAAAATCAGCAACAAAATCTGACATAAACTGTAAACTAAATGTTGTTTCTCATGCTCAAATAGGGTTAACAACCGGAGCCACTGCAGTGACGCACTTTACCAATTGCTGATTAGCTTTTTTGTTTAGAAGGCGGGACTTATTCCCCCATTCATAATAACTAGTGTGAGTACATCTAAACTCTTTGTTTGAATCTTGATTTTTTCTTAGCCGGTTGTATTTTATTTATTTATTTTGGTCATTTGTTAAGAAAAAATCATTTCTGAAATTTTGCAAATTAAAATTAGCTTAAGATGTAATGCTTTCAGATAAGATATGACATTAAAATAACTGCCATTTGGGTAAGAACATTTTTTTAATTAAAAAAATATACTCTCTGAAAACAAGTCTTAATATGAAATTTAGCACATTTATAAGGTTTTAATGATGTTTAGATATTCTACTGGGGGGAAAAAGACAAAAATAAAATTGTTTTGCATCATTTAAATGAATTCAGAAAATCCACGTTCAGCGCTCTGGATCAGTTCTGACTATTTGGCATGGAATAAAGCAAACAAAATGCAGTGTGCATACTTTAATGTGAGCGTTTGTATATGCGAGTCCCAAATAAGCATTGGAATGATAAATGGGTGTCGCTGTGGATAGAACGCCAGATGTTGATCTTAATGAGGAGCCATGCAAGTTAAACAGAGGCAGGCATATGGAGCGTAGGGGAGTTGAGTCCCCCTCTCTTTCTCCATGTGCTTATTTGTATCTCCTCCATTATGATGCCACATCACCTTTCCAAAGACCTACCTTCAGCACTGTCCTTGGGGACAGTTTCTTAGCAACCGCATCAAAACAAACAGACAGCTCGCTGCTGTCATGTAAAATGAGATCGCAATACATGCGAAAGGAAGTCGGCGATGGCACAGTGAAAAAACCTACAGTGTGCAACTAGGGTCACTTTTTTTTTTTTTTTTTTGATGGAGAATGGGAGAACAAGGAATCATCGTACTTCCAACGTGTTAGCCAAAATAAATGGAGAAAATCTCTTGTTCTCTCAGCTGCAATAATCTCAGTCCTGTTTGCAGGGGCTGCGGTGTCACAACCCATCACAGTGAATATTCACACACTTTTCTCTTTCCCATTTGCAGTCTTTCTTTCACAACGTAACGTTATCTGTTCCCGCTCTCTTGCTCGCTATCTATTTCTCTTTTCTACTCAGTACACCCCCAGCATCTTCTCAGCTCATATAAATCTGACACCCCACAGTAAATCACTCGACAAAAAAAAAAAAAAAGAAGAAGCGGCCTTTTTTCTCGGTTTACAAAGAGCATGATCCATTTGCCATCCTCCTCCCTCGGCATAATGTAAAATAATCCTTCCACACACTTTCATTTCCCTCCTCAGATTGTGGAAATGCTGAGATCTGGAGAACAGCGTTTGGTAAACAAAATACTTCCATCAGGAGGACAACAATAAGACATAGAGATGTAAGGCTGGTATTCTTTAATGAAAAAAAAAGTCTTTGAAGACTTAAGGCATAATAATAAGAGCCGCGCTCGTTTTAAAATGAATCGGCTGTGACTTGGGTGTAAAAGAGCGTCCCAAGCCAAAGAGAAAAGGTCAGGGCGAACATACGTCGAATCGTCTCCTCGGGTCTCTACTTTCTTGTTCATGCCATGCTGGACAGCTGTAATTTAACGGCAAGCGCTCTGACAACAAAACAACAGTACAAATCTCCTGAGAGACCTTTCCCTTGTGACCGGAAAACCAACAGCCAAGAAATCCGCTCATCTGTGCAATAGAGCCTTTCTGTATGAGTGGCTGCACTGCAAAAAATCAATTTCTTAATCAGGATTTTGTCTTGTTTTCTTGTAGAAATACTTAAACAACATTAAAAACCAAGTAGGCTAGCATTTACCTGAGAAGCAATTTTAAGATGAGACGTGTTTTTTCAGAGAATAAAACAAACAAAATAGGCATTGTCTTTTAAATAATAGATCAATTTAAATGTTTTCACAATCGAATTAGAATAACTGAACTATATTCTCTTTTTCATAATATTTGAGGAAATTGCAGTTTTGAAAGGAACATGCTCATCAAGGCTTTTATTTATATATTTAAAAACAGTAATTTTGTGAAATATTATTGCAATCGAGAGTAACTGTTTTCTATTTTAATATATTAAAAAAATATTATTTATTCCTGTGTTGGTAAAGCTGAATTTTCAACATTACTCCAGTCTTCAGTGTCACATGATCCTTCAGAAATTATTCAAATATGTTGATTTGGTGCTCAAGAACCATTTCTTATTATCGATGTTGTAAACAGTTGTGCTGCTTTTTTCTGGACGCTGTGATGCATTTTTCAGGATTAGAAATAGAAAGTTCAAAAGAAAAGCATTTATTTGAAATTGTTTTTGCTGTTACTTTTAATCAATTTTAATGCATCCTTGGTGAATAAAAGTCTGATTTCCTTAAAAAAAACCTCACCTCAAACTTTTGAACAGTAGTGTATTTTTTTTTTAAGATGTTTATATATCTGTAATGAAAACAAGGCAAAAATACTAATCAAGATAGAAAATGGTTGTTGCAGTTCATGTCTCTGTATACCATGTATGCATTTAAGAGTGATTTGCACTTTTAAGGAAACTGTGTTAAATGAAAGAGAAAAAGAGCAGGGGGGAAATGGAAAAGAATGTCAGGGCAGGAGCGCAATGCTCATTGGGCACTTTGGCATCTTAAATAAATGATGGCCTCAACCGAAGACGTGTCATCCTTACAGTGTAAATAAGCTTGCCGTGTGTCCCGACAGTTCAGGGGAATCTGTTCTTTTCTGCTTCACAGAACAAGGGCCACGCATTTCCAAGCATGATTTAATGGTATGTGTTTATGTGCATGAGTGAGTCCGAAAACCATTTTAAAATGAGAAGGGATACCTAAGGAGAGACACTTTCTGCCTGGTGTAAGTCTTGTTTGTGGTTCTTGTGCTGTATTGAAGCCACACAAGTTGCATTACTACACGGGTTAGCACAGTGTCCGGATCAGTGCAGGCCTTTGGCACCATGTAAACATTAGTTTGTTTAGTTAGCACTCAGATAATCCCACAGCTCTTTGGGATTGGCAAATGGTTGCATGCTGAGAAGGTTGTCCTGAAACTCTTCCGGTCCCTTCTCACAGTCCCCTCGTCTGTCCTTGGATTCGCCAGCCCCGCATTCCCAAAACCCTGCCCACGATAAGATGAGCAAAACGGCACCTGAAAAATGTAAGGAGAGTGATACATCATCCAGACAGATCAATAGAATGCAAAAATGTTTTCAAATGTATTTCTCTTTAACACACTGGGTAGAAGGTAGTCTTAAAGGGATAGTTCACTTTGAAATGAATTTTTGGTATGTTTTAGCTTACCTCAAGGGCATCCAAGATGTAGGTGTCTTTGTTTCCGCAGTAGTTTCAATTTTGATATTTTTAGGTCAAACCGTTCTTGTCTGTCAGTCATATAATGCAGGTCTATGGTCACCACCTCAAAGAGCATGCACAGAGAAGTCCAAATTAAACATGATTTAATGACTCGTAAATGTAAGGACACATTGATGGCCTAAGACACGAAACGAGCGGTTTGTGTGAGAAAACGAACAGTATTTATATCGTTTTTACCTCTTGTAACCACAGCCACGTCCAAGTGATCTGAGGGTGCGGGCGCTTCGGTCTGCACAAGCGCCGGAAAGCGATCTCTCGCACGGTTGTGAAAAAAATTGAACGTTGTCTGTTGATATATCGAAATCGTCTTCCATTGCGATTTCCTGTATATCTAAATATGTTTAGATCTTCACGGTGAAAGGTAACACTTCCGAAATCTCTGTGTAAACAATATGGAGATATTTTTGGTGCAAAACTACTGAATGCCTGTGACAGTGAAATTTGTAGTTGTAGAGAATAGCCACACATGTGTATCAGTAAATTTGAAGTCACAGAGATAAATGTTTTAAGAGTTGCAAACTTGTAGACTTTTTTTATCTTCCACAAACACAACACAACAGTTACACATTCTCAAATTCTTCATTGCAGGTGCTCAAATCCTATTCTACAAATCACAAATTAAGAAACTCGTACGCTCACATTTTTGCTGCAGTGAATAGAGGGTATGCGCATGACGTCACCGTCGGCTGGAGTGAATGCGGTCACGCCCACAAGTGGCAAAAAGACTGAGCGGCAGCATTTGTTTTCAGCGTGAATGCCGTGAAAAACACACAAAACACATCTAAAACGTGAAAGAGCTTTGCGATTGACTGCACAACTAGATTTGACCAGAAATCTGAGGTACTGTATATTTTTACAGACTGCAAAAAGCTACAGAACAGACTATGCATAATTGGATGTTTTTAAATAAACACTGACAAAAAACTATACAAGTTTTAGGGCTGGACGATATGATGATATACAGTATAACATTAATATAAGTGATCACTCGGATTTAGACCTATCTATATTGTATTTATATAAAACGTTTACAGGCAAATTTTCTTAATTTATTTCCCATGCGTCGAAATCAGGCACATATAAACGTCAGGAAACACGATTCCTGGCTGCATGTCAATATTCATGGATCACTGGATCTTTGATAAGTTGTAAGAGAACACTATATCGAGTCCAACTTTTAGTTTAAACTGATAATAGTTTGTTTTACTCGCGTTTTCGCAGTTTCCCCTATTAACTCCAGCCACGCAGCAGCTCTTTTGCCACTCAGTCCGGCTGAGGGGGGCGTGTTCTGGCGGGAAAGTGACGTTAATGCATTCCCTCTATATAGCCCCTTTCACACAGAGATTCCGGAAAATACACGGATAAAGTGACCCGGTATTTGACCCGGGTTCGTTTGATTTTGCTTCATTCACACTGCCAGTGATTTGCCGGAATCAGAGAGCGCGTTCACACACAACCCGTGTATGTTCCGGAAAGACGCGTGACGTTGGTTGTGACGGGTCTCTACTTCAGTCCAGTTTGCAGACATTTTTTCGTTCTTTCTTGTATCGTTGACGAACACAAACTTTCTTCTAGAGTAACTGAGTCGCACGATAACTACGTCATTGCAAAGGCTCGTGAATCATCAATACGACACACCCCTTATACGGCATTGGTTCTGGCTTTTGTTCACACAGCGCGCGTTCCGGGTCTGAACACGGCAATGTTACTAGGTCCCCAACCCGGCATCGATCCCGGCATCAATCCCGGGTCGTGTTTGCGTTCACACAGAAGGCACTCTGGCAATTTGCCGGCAATTTGCCGGGTTCAAAGAGCTGTGTGAAAGGGGCTTATGGTGCAAAAGGCATTTACACACCTGCATAAAAAAATGTGAAGTCACCGAGAAGTTTTGCTCATCTGCAAATCAGTATGTGAATTCATCCAATGAGAGTTGCACACTTGTAGAATATTTTCTCACAAATGTCTTGTATATTTTTCTAGCACAAACACTGTAAGTAGCTACATAACTACAGCTGCTTGAATCTGCTGCGACGAATCTCAAACACGGTTTTTCGCTTTCAAGTGACAAGTTTCGCGCGCTCTCCCTTTTGCACCAAGTGCACAGTGAAATGTGGTGCAAAAGTGAGTTGTGCATCTGTAGAGGCAGTGGGCGGAGCCTACATTAATATTCATGAGTTTCCCGGGCATGCGCACAGAACTGCTCATTCTAGTTCACGCTCCTCGTTTCTCAGCAGGTTTAATGGATTATTTCAAGAAAGGTAAATATAGTTTCAGTGCGAACCTAAAATACAATTGTGTATCATTTCATAAAGTTCATAATGTTTTTATTAGTTTGCACGTTTTGTGCATTCATTAATGACTAAATGATTGATGGCATTCACTTCGTGTAGGCCTATATAAAGCACAGCAAACTTCAACTCGTTCATTTCGTTGTGCTTTTCCTCTGTACATTGCAATGTTTTAAACTGTCGTTTATCATTTGTTGAATGTCACTTTAATAAAAAAAAAAAAAAAAAAAATTACAAACAAAATATACATTTACAAAAAAATATTACAAGGTTTAAGGTTCCACTTTTACCATAAAAACCAAACATTCCAGAACACCTGAATGATTACAAGCAACACTTATTTCCAACAGAAGAGCAGATATAGAATATTCCTAAATACATGAACCATTACCATTCAATTTATTTATTGCTAAGCTCTTCTGATACCTTACTTTATGAAGCTTTACAACTGTGTCATATCTGGCAATAATCTCTGGGAAATAACTCCACAACCATATCAGTGTCCAAATAAACATTTTGCACCCTACACTGATGTTTCTCTTTGTCATGTTCTTTCTTTGACCTTATGTTGCTCTGGGTGCCTGGATGATACACAATGATGATCATTGATACAAATGCATGATCTACTTCGTACTTGAACTCTTGAAAAATGAAACCTTTAAACTTTGTTGGATCGATGTTAAAACATGACATTCTGGCATTTTCATCAATTAAGATTTGCATGACAAAAGTTTGGAATCACTATGATTTAAGAAATGTTATACTTTTATAGCAGGCAAGGTCAATTTCCACACTCCATTAAGCAGCACAACCATTTTCAACTGTGATAATAATCAGAAATGATTCTTGCGCAGCATATTCAGTATTAGAATGATTTCTGTGACACTGAAATCTAGAGTAAAATGAGCTCTGCCATCACAATATTATTATTATTTTTTTACAGTTGATAAAAATATTTCACAATATTACTGTTTTAGATAAATGTAGTCTTTGTACCTTAGAGGTACCTTGCCTTAGAACCTTAATACCAAACTTTTGAACAGTGATTGACATTAACACCCGCCAACCCGCCATATGCAGGTGGATTTCAGCAGTGGCGTGACGCAGTCACTCCTACAAGCCACTTTGGCGGGCTGAATTGCATTTATGATTTTTAGTGTTCGCATTTACGCGGAAAAACAATGTTTCGGACGTGACAGTTCTCCGTTACGGACGTGACCACTCTGAAAGCTTTAAAACTTTCACAGAGACATCAAACAGAAAGCACAACCCCTTTCTTTAAATTGAATTTCGTTTTAATAAATAAGAAGTAAATATAGCAGACGATAGATAATCACGAAGCGGAGGCGCCGGCGCGTGAACTGGAGCTTGTCTCATAAATGAACCGAAACTCGGCGTATAAGGTAACCTACTTGCCTCACAGACATGTCTACTTTTAAACAGAACAATTCAAAACGAAAGAAAACAGACTACAGACTGCTCTCTGCTTATGTAATCCTTATGAAATGTGCATTTCTCTCTGGTGCGTTCACTACTGCGAAGTATATAGCCTATAATATATATATATATATATATATAATGATTTCCATTACACGAGAGTAGATGTTAAAACTTCATGCTGATTTGTGCTCGGCTTTTGCCAAGATAAGCAACACTAAGACGTATCTTTACAGTAACCTATGCTTCACCCATTTACGCTTCTTTCCAAATGGTGGTGTGACTCCCCTTCTGTCCGGCGTTAACGACTGCAGTGTACTTGGCGCATCAGCACACACGACGGCTGCAACTACAGTGTGGTCTCCCTAGTGGACCAGCACGACAACCGTCTGGATTGAGCCAAGTAGGGGACATCTCTAGGGTCTTCAAGTGGGCACCTTCCGTCCTCAGTGTTTCGTCGATTAGCCCACGACACCTCAAGAGGGCTCGACAGTGACTCTGGCGTCCCAGAGTCACCCCCCTCCGTCCCCCACTCAACTCAGCCCGGCTTACTGACCTCTACATCCCTCCTGCTGCTGAGACCTAACCACAATCTCACAATCTCTCCGCAACCCAACCATACGCGCCAACCCGTTTGACTAAGGCTGTTGAGCCCCACTGGTGCGTTAATATGCAGTTTCAGTGGCAACGGTTCCGTATGGCATACCACCTATACCGCAAAAACACAATATCTGCCCAACCACCCATCATTCACGCAATATACACAGGAACGTAATGACTGTAAATACTATACAACCTATACAAATAAACCAACAGACTCTTCAAGTTTTCAAGAATTCTACGAAACCGTAGTGTAGCGGCCTGTACACAGCCAGCTAGAATCTTTCCGTCTCAACCACAGCCAGTTGCTGCTCCTTTCTGCTGCTTCAGATAAGTTCTTTACTGTGCGACGCAACTCTTGGCCACTGAATCCGACGTCTCTGAGGAACCGGGTTGTAGAGTGTGCCACAAAACCTCGACAACCCACTTCGACTGGATAAACCTGGACTCTCCATCCTCGCTGTTCTGCTTCAGCGGCCAGATGAGCATACCGCAGTTTCTTCCTCTCATATGCCTCATCTACCGCATCCTCCCATGGCACTGTTAACTCTATCAGTTGAACAATGCGTGCTGATCCAGACCACAAAACAATATCTGGTCGTAGGTTAGTGGTGGCAATCTCAGGTGGAAAAATAAGCCGTTGATCAAGATCAGCCAGCATCTTCCAGTCCCTAGCAGCTTCCAGTTGTCCTGGGCGAGAATTGGTGTTAGCACCTTTTCTTGGTGGTTGCTCGCCTGGGCGGAGGAATATTGTCTTCTGCGTGTAATGTTTTGATAGAACAGGCGGCAACTTATTGGTCATGTTGCGCTTGCCTTCCAATGCTAAAGCCAAACATCGCAATACTTGGTCATGGCGCCAAGTAAACCGACCTTGGCTAAGAGCCACCTTACATCCTGTCAAAATGTGCCTAAATGTGGCAGGTGATGAACACAAAGGACAAGAGGGATCCTCTCCTACCCAGAGGTTTAGGTTCTGCGGTGATGGGAGAACATCATATGTTGACCTAATAAGGAAACTGATCCTACTCTCTTCCATTGACCAAAGGTCTTGCCAGCACATTTTGCGTTGTTCCACACTCTCCCATCTCATCCACTCTCCCTGCTTGGCCTGGGAAATGGCCTTTATACACCTCATCCTCTCCTCCTGCTTTCGCACCTCGTTGACTACCAGCTTCCTCCTTTGAGCTGGGCCTGCCTTGTGCCATTTAGGAGGAGCTAAACTGAGCCCAAAACCCCCTCTTCCATGCTGTACCTGTCCCACGATATCCCCAATTTGAAGGTCAGCCTTTGCCTCTACTACAGATTTCTTTGCTGACCACTTTCTACCAGTTTTTAACACAGGGGCTGCCTCCCTTACACATTTGTCGCGTGACTCTACTAAGGTCATTTCCAGTCTGACCTTGGCACACTTAAACTCCTCGGTTAAAGCAGAGACTGGCAGCTGCAATATTCCTTTACTATAAAGTCCCACTCTGCTGAGGCAGCGTGGAACTCCCAACCATTTCCTGATGTATGTCCTGATGTATTCCTGATGTACGCTTCCAGCTTATCCACTGTTGTCAATGAAACCTCGTACACAGTCAGTGGCCACAGCAACCTCGGCAGTAGACCAAACTGAAAGCACCAGAGTTTTAGTTTGCCTGGTAGAGCACAGCTGTTTATGCTCTTCAACCCTTCCACTGCTTGTCGTCTAACTTCTCCCACTCAAACTGTGTCCTTTAGATCCCCATCGTACCATCTCCCAAGACTCTTCACTGGCTTCTCAGAAACTGTTGGTATTGCCTCACCATTAATGAAGAATGTTTTATCTACTACCTTTCCTTTAACTATCGAGATGCTCCTTGATTTAGAGGGCTTAAATTGCATTCGTGCCCATTCAATATTATCTGTTAACTTCCCCAATAACCAATTAGTGCAGGCTACTGTTGTAGTCATGGTTGTCATGTCATCCATGTATGCTCTGATTGGTGGTAGTCGCATCCCAGAAGCCAAGCGCTCTCCTCCTACTACCCATCTTGATGCCCTAATGATTACTTCCATTGCCATGGTAAAAGCCAGTGGAGAAATGGTGCATCCTGCCATTATTCCAACCTCTAAGCATTGCCATCCGGTGCTGAATTTTGGAGTTGAGAAACTAAATTGCAAATCTCCAAAATTGGATTTCACTAAATTTGTTATTGACATTGGTACTCTGAAAAAATCAAATGCTGCCCAAAGAAGCTCATGTGGCACTGAACCATATGCATTAGCCAAATCCAGGAATGTCACATGGAGCTCCTTCATCTCCTTTTTAGCTGACTGAATTCGTTGCCAGATAACATTGATGTGTTCTAAGCATCCTGAGAACCCTGGAATGCCCGCTTTTTGAACTGAGGTGTCAATGAAGCCATTCTTTAATAGGTAGGTGGACAATCTCTGGGCAATAATGCTGAAGAAAATCTTACCTTCAACGTTTAATAGTGAAATAGGACGAAACTGACTGATGCTTGTAGCATCTTTTTCTTTAGGTATAAAGACTCCACCTGCTCTGCGCCATGCTCTAGGTACAACCTGTTTTTCCCATGCCACTTTTATCAATTTCCACAGAATTCGCAGAACTCCTGAAGCACTCTTGTACACTCTGTACGGAACTCCATTAGGCCCTGGAGATGATGAAGCCCTTGTCTTTCTCACAGCCTGCTCTACCTCTTTCCACTTAGGTGCACAGACCTCCATTTGGTATTCTGGTGGGTTGATAGGTGGTATGTCTGATGGAATTGACATAGGCTCATGCCTTTTTGCATCTGTATGCGTTTCCTCCAAATATCTCTCTAGCTCCACCCTAGATGCTTTTAAAGTGCCATTCTTCTCCCTGGTGAATAACTTCTTTACGAATTTGAATGGGTCTTTACAGAAATTAGCCCTCGCACGTTCCTTCTTTTTGTAGCGTTTCCGTAGACGCTCAGCTCTGCGTAATGTTGCCAGCTTATCTTTTATGGCCCTTTGTAAGAGATTGAGTCCCTCCTTCTGACTTTGTTCTGCTCTTTTCCATTGCTTCCTCAGCTGTCTCCTTTCTCTAATTAACCCTTCAATTTTCTGCTGCCGTCTAGACATTCCAGGAGTAGTCTGTACTTATATATATATATATATATATATATATATATTTAAAAAGTGTTAGCCCACAGATACATTTATGAGGGTTTATTTAATTTATTGCAATCAAAAAATGATAACAATTAGTAAAAGCCACAGTTAAAGCTTAGCAAGGTGCAATTTATACAACGAGTTCAAGTTTGCTGTACTTTAGGCTATATAGGCCTACACGAAGTGAATGCCAATCTTTCAGTCAGTGACGAATTAATAAAAACATAATGAACTTAACGAAACGATACACAATTGTATTTTAAGTTCGCACTGAAACTATATTTACCTTTTTTGAAATAATCCATTAAACCTGCTGAGAAACGAGGAGCGTGAACTAGAATGAGCAGTTCTGTGCGCATGCCCGGGAAACTCATGAATATTAATGTAGGCTCCGCCCACTGCCTCTACAGATGCACAACTCACTTTTGCACCACATTTCACAGTGCACTTGGTGCAAAAGGGAGAGCGCGCGAAACTTGTCACTTGAAAGCGAAAAACCGTGTTTGAGATTCGTCGCAGCAGATTCAAGCAGCTGTAGTTATGTAGCTACTTACAGTGTTTGTGCTAGAAAAATATACAAGACATTTGTGAGAAAATATTCTACAAGTGTGCAACTCTCATTGGATGAATTCACATACTGATTTGCAGATGAGCAAAACTTCACATTTTTTTATGCAGGTGTGTAAATGCCTTTTGCACCATATTCACTGCAGCAACTGTAGCAAAAATGTGAGCGTACGAGTTTCTTAATTTGTGATTTGTAGAATAGGATTTGAGCACCTGCAATGAAGAATTTGAGAATGTGTAACTGTTGTGTTGTGTTTGTGGAAGATAAAAAAAAGTCTACAAGTTTGCAACTCTTAAAACATTTATCTCTGTGACTTCAAATTTACTGATACACATGTGTGGCTATTCTCTACAACTACAAATTTCACTGTCACAGGCATTCAGTAGTTTTGCACCAAAAATATCTTCATAAAACAATGAGTGACGTACACGCGCGAGAGATCACTTCCGGCACTTTCCGGCGCTTGCGCAGACCGAAGCGCCCGCACCCTCAGATCACTTGGACGTGGCTGTGGTTACAAGAGGTAAAAACGATATAAATACTGTTCGTTTTCTCACACAAACTGCTCGTTTCGTGTCTTAGGCCATCAATGTGTCCTTACATTTACGAGTCATTAAATCATGTTTAATTTGGACTTCTCTGTGCATGCTCTTTGAGGTGGTGACCATCGACCTGCATTATATGACTGACAGACAAGAACGGTTTGACCTAAAAATATCAAAACTGAAACTACTGCGGAAACAAAGACACCTACATCTTGGATGCCCTTGAGGTAAGCTAAAATATACCAAAAATTAATTTCAAAGTGAACTATACCTTTAAGAACTGCATCTGCATTGTATACTAAAATAACACATTTTTAAAAGAATAACTCAGCCAAAAATAAACCTGTATGACTTTCCTTTTCATGGAGCACAGACGTCTTCTGAAGACTCTCAAAAACAAACTGGAAGTTGTTCTGCTAAATATCTTCCTGCTTTAGTGCTCAAATTTGTTTTGAGTGCATTTAAACGCACAAGATTAGAACTAAATTAGGTCCAACATCATTAGTTCTCAAGTGTATTGAAAGAGAATACACGGTCTAGCTTTTTTGGTCTAGCTTCCGCACAAATCATATCGTAAGGCTTCAGAAGATTCGGAATACAGTGCAGCAATCATACAGCCCACATTTACAAAAGACGTTTATGGTGCTTTTTTGTATTATAAATCACCATCCACTTACAGATTCTGATAAACTTCTTTTGTGTTTCATGGAAGAAAGAAAAGCATACAGGTTTGAAATGACACAAGGCGAAATACTGATTTAAAGCTCATTTAATTCAGAAATAAGCAAACCTGCACAATGTTAGGCCTCTGAGTTTTGCTTCAGGTTCTTCATGGACCAGGCTCAGATGGGAAGACGTTCCTCAGCTGTTCGATAACCTGTTGCAGCTGCAGTACAGTGTCTTGCTCATGATCAAAATCCTCACCTACACAACATTAAATGCTACAATTAAAATGAACTCAACCGAAGCATAAAATAATCAGCCTTATTCAATTCAAATAAGTCTGTGGATGATGGCACTGATATGCGAGGTTGTTCTAGGTCTCACCTGCAGGTTCTGTGTCTGTGGTCTCTCTGCTGGGAGGCTCCCCCTGGTGGCCTCCTCCTGACACGGGGGAGGAAAGAGAGGAAGGAGCCGAACCATTGGCCTCAGAGTCGTCTTTGGGCTGGGAGACATGATCAAATGAAAAGAGAACAAGAAAACAGTTAAGAATATTACTATTACTATTTCAGCAGTATAAACACTACCGTTCAAATGTTTGGGATCAGTACAATTTCGTTTTTATTCAGCAATAATGCCCCAAATTGAAATGACCGTAAAGACATGTATAATATTATTTACAAATACTCTTATAAAGAATTATACTCTTTAAAGAATCCTAAAAAAATGTATCATGTTTTCTGCAAAAATATTAAGCAGCACAACTGTTTTCAACATTGATAATAATAAGAAATGTTTTTGAGCACAAAATCTTCTAAATGAATGTAAATGTAAATCAGCATATAATAAATGCCATCACAGTTTTAAAATGCATTTCTTTTAGATTGTAATAGTATTTTATAATATGACTTTAAAGCTGCCGTCGGCAACATTATTTTGATCATATTCAGTGAAATCGACACTATAATCTGACAGAACAACATAAATAAAGTGGTTTTATAAAAAAAAAGCGAGTTTCTAACTCCACCTGGAGCGTGTTATTTGTTTTGCAAAAATCCACAGCTCCCGGTTCATCATGTCCAATCAGCGCAGGGGGGTGTGAGATCATCTGACTGTCAATCATAGATCGGGCACACGCCACCCCTCGCGCACGTTACAATCACATGCACACGCCTGAAATTCGCGCAGTAACGAAGAGTGATGGCGGAAAATCAAGTAAGCTCATTTAGAGTATAAATGACGTTAGCAATTGCAATCTATCGGTAGATTAGCCAGGACAGCATATCTCCAAATACTCCATGGTGCTGATGGATGCTGATGAGACGGGCGCGTTCACTGAAAATCTGGTGCACACACACTGACGAGCATGAAGAAATCCGGTGAGCAAAAGAAATCCTACAAACCTGCACATAGCATGCACATTTTCTGTACACATACTGTATAATGCATGGAATTAAACATGCCGCATTAACATCAGAAACATTTGTCATTGCTTATTGTACAATACTTCACATGGATAGTAGACAATAGCCGCGTTTCCACTGCCGGGCTAGGGCCGGGCCAGGGCTAACAGCGAGCCGAGCCGAGCCGAGCCGGTGGCCTCGGGCCTCAAGCATCGGGATTGCGTTTCCACTGCCGGGCCAGTAGCCCCGCAGCGCTACCCTAAACCCCGCCCCTAACACGCCTTCCGGATCAAACGTCAGATACAACCCAACCCATTTCAGCGGGTTTTATGAATTTATTTATTTTTTAAGTTAGGAAGATAGCATGTATATTAACTCACCGACCGTGGCTGCAATAGTGTCCCGACTGTCTCGCGAGTCGCCACTAACAGAGGGACGCAGCACACCGTCCATCAAGTCGATCCATGGAAAATCCCTTCTCTGAGCTCCACTTTGTTCATTGTGCGTTTTAATCGCCTTGTACAATACTGTGCCCGCAACTTTTTTTAAATTTTTTCCTGAACTCGCTGAATGCTTAGCTTAGAAAGTTCAGCATCGATGTATTTTAAAACGTCCTCGTTTCTTCACACGCCGTAAAATTGACGTTGTAACCTTTCTTCTGCCCAAATGCTCAGAAGAGCTTTGGTATCTTCGACGACCAGTACAGGCGATTCTCCATTTCGAGCAGCGATTATTTTGCGCGATATAAAAAAGTGAAATGTGCATCTTGCTTCAGATCATAACGTTCCATAACACTGATAAACTCCGCCTTTTACCTTGAGCACGCCTCTAGCCCGAGCTGGCCCGCTTTGGCCCAGGGTATTCGACGGGCCAGAAATCCTGGCCGTTGGCCCCGAGTAAGCCCAGATCAAGCCCCGGAAGTGACAGTGAAAACGCGATTGGCCCTGGCACGCACTAGCACGGCTCGGCCCTGGCCCGGCAGTGGAAACGCGGCTAATATGTAGTATATACTATGCAGTATGCTAGCCTAGTCATGCTCTAGACAGAAGACAGTGTTGTTGGATCAGATGAGAAAATTTGATGAGAAAAACAGTTGCCAGTTTTCAAATGCTGCCAAAACTCCAAACTTTGGCATTTATCGACCAGGGATTTGGCTCATTTTCCATATGTTACAAAGGCTGTGTATTTTCTTGAGGGATGAAAACAAACTGATAAGAAACTCAGGTATGGCTCGCCTCCCACCCCCCCCCCCCCCCCCACACACATTTCACAGGCAGGTGAGTTGAACTGAGGCTGTTTTTGCATGAATAGTACCTCAAATTTATTCTGAGTTAAACTCTTATTGTTCTACAGAGATGTCCACAGAGGTAAGACTGTAAATTTCCCAGCGGATTTCAATGGGTGCTGATCGAACTCCATAATCCCAGCACATTATTGCTTCCCCATGACACATCACTCACTCGTTTTTGTAGGTTTTCTCTTCCCTCTATTTCCGTCTAATTCCTTTTCACCTATAGCAACAGCCTCAGTGTTTTTCCTCCACTCTCTCTCACCATTCAGCCTGCCAATCATATCTCTACAGCACTACCTCTCTTTTTTACCACCTCTTATTCTATTCACTCAGCCTTGCCTGAGCTTTTCTTTTCTTCCTCGGCCTGCTTTCTGTCTTTCTTTCACTAAAGAAAAGGATCCTCTTTCTGCCCACTCTATTCTGTCCATCTCGTTTCTTAAGCTCAATGTTCGTCAGCTCGAGAAATGACTTACCTCCACCCACTCCATCCCTATGATTCCATCTCCATCAATAGTGTTCTGCCCCATATATAATCTCTCTCTACCTCTTCCTTCCCATCTTTGCAATTTACCAGAAGCAATTTACCAGAAGTTAGTGCGTCTTCCCTGCACTCGCTCGTCCTCCACCTCTTTTCAGGCCTTGGTAATGGGTACATTTTTTCTGTCTCCACATCTCTTCTCCTTTCACTTGAGAAAATTCTCTTCAGTTCCCTGTCTCCTTGTCCTTACCAACCTGCATTAGTAGGCATATCTTTACCCTTCTACATGTGGTACATCAAGGCAGCCTATAATATAGTCTATCCTCTCAACTGTCTTCCTACTCTTTTTGCCGAAAGCTTTAAATACATCTACTTCCTCCCCTCTGCCCCCCTTTATCAGTATATTTTGTTAGCCCAACTTTATTTCTCTCATGGTGGCTGTTTTTAAAGCTCAAAACATTCCTTCAAACCCATTAACATTTAACATTAAAGTCTTCGGCACAGAAGGCCCCGATTTACCCGCCTGTGCAGCGGTAACATATCCATTCAACTCCCTACACACCATTCTTTCATTGTTTCCATCACAATAATCTATTCTGGCTCACATGTTGGTACTCGCTGTGGGCATACTCCTCATTTTCAAGGTATATCAGCATCTGTTAACTGACCTGCAGCAGTAGTTCTCTGAGTCTGTGCAGCTGGGACTCCAGTTGCTTGTTGTGGTCCTCCAGAATCTGCATGCGCGTCTCCAGGCGGGTCTTGTGCTGTCGGAGGACTCGAGCCTCAGCTAGGAGCTCCTCGTCTTGCTGATCAGCCGGTGAACCAGGACCCGACTCCAGCAGCTGAGGTGATGCTGCAGCCTCTTCGTGCTTCCACTTCAGCCGCCGATACTCACCCTGCAGCACCCTGTGGGAGAGACAACAGCATCATCATCATTACTATTGCCTTCTTGATCATTTAGATTATCATACCCGCTACGTCGAGACAAAAGCTGATATTATAAACTAATGTGATCTAATCAAATAAATTTACTTCATTTTGTCTTAAAACTTTTTACATAATTTTTTACAAAAAGTTTATATTTTATATACATATTTATATAAAATATGTTTTAAATGCTTAATTATATATATATATTTTTAATAACTACATTTTATGTAATAATTATTTTATTAATTTGTTTTAATTTATTATATATAATTTTCTGTATTGTGGCATATTTTATATAGAAACGTAGATTCTTTTGTTATTTCTCTATATGTAAAATTATAAGAGAGCAAGAAAATGATGAAATCCTGATGAAAACTGTTAAGAATATTAGTCACTATTTCTGCAGTATAAACATCACCTTTCAAAAGTTTGGGATCAGTGCGTTTTTAGTTTTATTCAGCAAGGATGTACTAAATTGATAAAAAATACAGTGAAGACATTTATAATGTAATAATTTCTATTTCCAATAAATGCATTATATTCGTCAAAGAATTCTGAAGAAAAGAAATTTATATCCCGGTTTCCGCAAAAATATTAAGCAGCACAACTGTTTTCAACATTGATAATAATAAGAAATGTTTCCTGAGCACAAAATCTGCTAAAATAATGTTAATGTAAATCAGAAAATAATAAGGGCTGCTGAAAAATCAGCTTTGCCATCACAGGATCAAATTCCATTTTAAAATGCATTCAATTAAAAAACTGTAAACTGTAATATTTCACAATATTACAGTTTGTACTGAATTTTTCATCAAATAAATGCAGCCTTGGTGAGCATAAGAAATCTTAAACCAACCCTAAACTTTTGAATGATAGTGTAGTATGTATACTGTACATAGCATGCAAAATAAGTATTTTGTTAATTTGTTTTATGTTATTATATTGCATTGTCTGTATTGGGTTTTGGGTCTGTATACGTTTTTTTATTATTATTATTATAACCCCCTTAAATGAAATTGAACTGAATGACAAAAAAATCACTCAGCTCTTTCTGTCCTGATAATGACAGCGGGAAGCCCTGATTTATCCAGGAGTTTAAGGTTGCAGATTCCCTGCAGACACTAACAATTAATCTTGTTTTATTGACCTATTACTCACATATAACAAAGCAAGACCCCACGAGAGCATGACTTAAAGGTCAGGATTTACGCAGAAGAAAAACTCATAAATGACTCACAGCTGTAACAGTAGCCTCTGGGATGAAACAAAATGGTAGTAGACCTTATAGACTTTTTGTGTTTCTGTAGATGTTTGAACCTTTGTTTTAAGGTCTAAAGATCACACCTCTTTCATTGGATGTGGGTCAAAAGATGTTTGACCTAGAGTAGCCATCATAATAGTAATAATGTCCCCATTTTCCCAGCAACACGTTTTATCTCAACCAATTTAAAAACTATTAGCTCTATCTTAATCCTCTAAAGAGATTTAAAGGTATTGTAGGTAGGAATTTTATAAAAAAAACTTTTTTCCAAATTTGTTTAAACTTTCTGTATATATCAATGAATAATTAAAATGTAAGTACTCTGAAAAAGAAAGTATAAAAATCGAGTGTCTGTAGACCTCTCACAACTGTTTTAAAGACAGCTCATTATTTCCATTCACTCCACCCTTCTGGGCTCCTTCCAAAGCCACGCCCCAAAAACACATGAACGCGCGACTCCGACCGCTGAGCTGAAGACGCATTATTTACCTGAGACGAGCGGAGAGGAAGGAGCGCAGTGCATGTAGTGACATCATGTCAGAATCACATGTAATAAAAAAATATAACTTTATCATTATGAAGATAAACAAATAAGATGTATTTTAGTACTCACTATCAAGCTAGCATATTGATATTGGTAAAGTTTAAAATATATATTTATTGATTCGCTACTAGTTATCTATAAGGCAAAGCTAAAAACAGGTTGCATGATACACGTTTTTCCATTGCCATCATTTACACTGTGATGAAGATGAATTTCGTGTAACATTCATAACATAAATGGTGTTCTGCATGTAATAGTTTCCATGATGAAAGCATTGTTGACTCTGATGAGGACTACACTCCAGAGACAAGTACCGCATCACATCATCAGCTCGAGGACAGATCCGGGGTCGAGGGCGAAGCAGAGGAGGTCGTCACAAGGCGTCACTTTTCAGCCCCTTGAGGTCTCTCAGTTCTCGCCATTGCTGGAAAGCCACGCCGATATTGACACGCGTTTTATTTCATTGTTTATCCAAAGACTTTTTGTTCATTACCTTTTCTAGTAGCGTTACTGTCTTCCTTTTTTTGCCTGGTTTGCCTTGGCGAACTGCATATGTGAATTTTGATTGGTCTTTCTCTGCCATTGTTTTGCTATTCCTAGGTTCCGTGCCTCTAGAATTCCTCAAATCAAACGGGTACGCGCAAGTGGGCAGGTCCTGTGTGGCAAAAGGGTGGTTGCCATGGTTACGAGAGAGAGACAGTCGCCTAAGCCAATCCTTTGTTTCGTCCCGGATGGAAATAATGAGCTGTGTTTAGTGAGGGTTAAACGGTCTAGAGTCACTCGATTTTTATACTCCTTTTATCAGAGTACTTACATTTTAATTATGCATTGATATATACAGAAAGTTTAAACAAATTTGGAAAAAAGTTTTTTATAAAATTCCTACCTACAATACCTTTAATGGGCCAACAGGAAGTGCAGTCAATTACAGACAGAAACCAAGAGTCACAAATACAAAGAGAAATCATTTTACCCCTCATTATTTATAATTATAAAGGTCAGGAGGATAACCCTCAGTTAAAACTTCATATCGATATGAATAAATAGACCACCATAGTTTTGTTTCTCTACAAATTGTTTTGGTTAATATAAAAACATTACAGTAAAAAAAATGCAAACTGGTATAAGATAGGAGGAACACACATTCACTCTTCTAAACAAAGCAACATTGTTACATACTCCATTACAAAAAGTCCCTTTACAGGTACTGCTGTCATAAAAATAAAATTACTTTTGTTGTAGAACTTTAACCTACATTTAACTTCCAACATGAAATATTTTAGCAAAATGTGTAGTTTACTCAGAGTTAATGTGCTCTGTTTGTTTGATGTGTATGCGCACGCATGCAAATTAAGTGAATTCATAACATGAACAGACAAGGATACAACCATGAAATGTAAGTTATGCACTGAGGAAACACGTCTCGAATGCATAAAACAGCACACGCATCTGTCAGAGCATTTGACGGCGAGCCACATTAAACATTATGCTGATGCATTTGTTTGGAAGTGCCTCATACAACGCATTCTCATGTTTTGGGCAGCATGGATTATACAGTTTTCCCACAGCAGCTCAGACTGTGACATCACTATGATAAAGTGACGTGACTGACTGCGCGCAGCGTGCAGATGCAATTAATCAAAAAACTAATTTGTTGTCAATTATTTTCATTATTGATTAATATGGATTTAATCAATTCATTGTTGAAGAACATTCATCAACGCATACATCAGATCTGGTAAACGGAAGCTCAAGCATGTTCACTTGACATGTGAGAACCAATGAGATTTATTACCATGTGTTACGCAGCACGTTTGAGCTTCCACAAGAACCAACGAGTTTGTTCTCATGCGTCAAGCAAGTCACTGTTCACTGATCAATGTTTATAAGGGAATAACAGTCTAAATTTAATATGTTCATCATTTAAAGCGATCAAGTCTCTTCAGAAATTTTGGACTAAACCGCTTTTTCATATGGATTAGTTTTACGATCAGTTTATGAACTTTTTGAAGGTCAAAGTGGTCTTAGACAAAGATGAATAAAAGTCTTTAAGGTTTGGAACAACATGAGGGCGAGTAAATGATGACAAAATTGTAATTTTTTGGTGAACAAACCCTTTCAGTAAAGTATAGATTAAGTGCATAAAATATTTAGAATTTTATTATTATATATAATTATTATTCATAATTATATATTACCTATATATTTTAATAGATTAATGTTATATATAATTTGTTTTTGTTTTTTTTATAAATTTTACGTGTTTATTTTTATTTTATTTTTATAACAATTAGGCTACATATTTTTTTAATTTCATATTATATTTATAAGATATAGTTTCTATATGTGATATAGTTTTGTTGTCTGGTGGATCATAAAACAAGCAAAAACAGAACACGCTTACATTGAACTAACAAACACAAAAAAGAATCTAGCATAATTTCTTCCATGTTTTGCATGGTTAAATGCCATTCACATTTTCTTCAAAAAACGAAACATTTTTGTTATTTCTGGAATTCCAATTAGTGCTGCATAATTTGCCCATTTCAGCGTCAAGTGTGAAAATGTGAATGTGCTCCTGGCTGAGCCCTCACCTGTTCTCGTTCTCCAGGCGGTGGAGGGTGCGCTGCAGCTCTTCTCTGTCCTGGCAGTCCAGGTGGGCCAGCAGGTGGCTGTGGGGGGAGTCCTCCTCGAGGGCAGGGCTGGAGTGACGTAGGAGGTACTGATCTTCATCCCTGAGTCCCCCCACATAGGAGACAGCGCACACTGAACACATTAGCGGTGCCACGCAGCAGCAGACACACAAACACACACGCAGTGCCAAGAGTGCACACAAAGCAGCAGGTACATAAGCCAAATGCACACAATGCAGCAGAGGCATATCAATACAGAACACATGTAGTACGCATATTCTACATAAACTGCGGATGGCGTATTTAGAGTGTAGAAAAACAGAGCAATGCACACCATCATCCAAAGAACAAATAGCAGCGTAGATGCTGAACAATCGGTAATCACACAAACACGCACACTCTTGGTAATCCAAGCACTATCCATGGCATCACATACAAAAAGCTAAAGAGGCACAGCCAATATACAGGCACACAGGATGAGTGAAAAAGAATTACCACTACACACAGGAAGCAGGCAAATAATCATGGCTCTCACATTTGGCACATCAATAATAAAAATAATAAAAAAAACTGTTTTCATGCAGTCTGCTGTAATTACACAGGTGCAAATACATCGACCATCATCACAAAGACCATTTATAGAGCGCTGGACGAGAGAGATTTGGTAAAAGCCACTGAAATGGCACATATGCCCTATCAAATAGATTAAATAAATGAATCACTATTGCACTTTCACAGAATTACACTGAATACACTTCTGCCTTTTAAATGAACAATTTTCCTAAAAACACGAAGTGAATATTTACTTACTCTTATCGCTCCTAAACATTATCTTTCTCTTTTTTTTCTTCCGTGGAATGCAAATGGTGAAATTCTGATGACTGTTTATATTATGCTCTTTTCTGTGAAATGTGGGATGAGATTTCAAGCTTTTTCACACAAAAACCAAAATAAAAATGGTCAGTTCCTTTTTAGTAACTTATTCTGTTTATTTTTAAATTGTAAAGACTTCATGATAACTTTATAAAATAAAATATGTATTTATATAGATAAATATTTAATACATAATATGTGTAGTTTTAATTATTTATACAATCTCATTGTGTGCTACCGTTTATTCCAAGTCTTTTAAGTAATGCAATAGCAATAGCTAATTATCTTGGCTCTAGAGTTTGACTGTGAATTGTTCTTTATAGTTGTTGTTCTCTTCACTGAATAAGTTGATCCAGTTCACGAAATGGTCTAAATCAGGGGTCGGGAACTTTTATTTTATTTTATTTTTATAAAAATAGCCATTTTTTCATTTTTCGTTAATGCATTTTTTTCCAAAAGAGCCAATCCAAAAACTACTATTTTACTATTATTAATATAAAAAACAAAAAATCAATAACATTATTTAGATAACAATAACTTTATTTAGGTCCAAAGTCAAAAAAAAATGTATAGAAAAAAGGCAACAAACAATGTAATGTGTGTGTGTGTGTGTGTGTGTCCAGTCACTTTGACGTTTTTATGCTCCTCTGAAATCTCTCTTTTCGCAATCTCCACAAACTAGACAGGCAGTTGTTTGTATCTGACCACCAGAGGTTACTATGGCAATGAACTATGTTCACTCAGCAATAGATTATTTTTGGTAGTCCTGTATTTGACTCCTATGGTTGCATTCACACACAGTTTAGTTAATTAGAGGAGTGACAGATTGTGAACTCACACTTGTAAGTTTTCGGGGCTCATAACCAGATTCTCTGCAAACCCCCACTGTGTGAACCGGACTGGACAACTAGTTATGTCGCATCATACAATGCGAAAGCACCACTCTCTACAGAGAGAGATATAAGCTGTGTCTTTCATGTGAAAGTTTTAGATTCTGTCTCTGTCTTCCATCGGAGCTGCATATTGTGTGGTCTGTGCTTGACTCAAATGCTTCGCTCTCCACTCAGGTATAAAAGCTGCTGTCGGTTAATTAAGGTTTGAATGATGAACTCAAGCCATGTCGACGGTGGGTTTTATGGACGTCTTTGATATTTATTTTAAATCACTGTCATGGTTGGTTACAGGTGATATTCATGGCAAGCGTGACTTAGTTGTTTGTTCATACAGAAAATAGGCCTATTTGAGCCGCTACAGTAAGATGCTGTGTGAACAGAACATTTCGAGAATCAGATATCCAAATAAATGCAGTTGTCATTTCCAAACCGTTTGAGCGTAGCCATAAAAACAAGTGGTTAGCCTTTGATTGGTGTTGCACACAGCACTGCATACGCAAATTGGCCTGAACAACTTGAAATATTATCGTTGATTGACTTTTCATTAAAGGTACAATATGCAGGATTTTTGCAGTAAAATATCCAAAAACCACTAGGCCAATGTAATATATTTTGTTTAGTTGATTACTTACAATATCCCAAATGTTTCCAACTATTTGTAAATCGTGAGAAAATTGCGATTTTAACCAAGGAAACGGGGCGTGTGAGCAGGGGTGAGGAGTCGCCAGTCAATGGCGTCATATCCGCGCTACCCCCGGTTTCCGCCAGGTTTGACCTCGTACTGCAATAGTAACCATGGCAACAGACGTTGACAACTGGGTTATGCCGGTTATGCCTAGAAGGACGCTCACGCTGTTGTTGTTTTGTTCAAACATTATGGACCATGGCAAGCAGACTTTGAGGCAAAAAGAGGACTAAAACGAAGATCAACATCTTTTGAGATGCCGAGACCTCCACGTCCGCGACTAACTTTGACTTGACAGAGACGCGAGTGTTGCATGTTACTTTATTAGACAGGTGAGCAAATGTACATAAAACGAATCAATGTTATTTAGTTCAACATGATGAAATGTTAGAATATGATCTGTATATTATTCTAATGTTGATCTAGCTTACTGTTAGTCTCATATAGCCAACAAACAACCTAACTAACAACATTCAACACACTCAAATGCCGTTCAGTGTGATAGTGTAACTGTTAGAGCAAGTGAAACAGCGCTGCGTTACCTCAAGTTTAATTCGCCTAATAAACTGACCTGTGTGAGTATTAATTCAGCACTTGCATGTAGTTCGGTAGAATGAAATGTCCTTATTCCTTTATATCCGCGTTAAAAATATCAATGTATTCACTCATCCATAAAAGATCCATCAGCTTGACGACTAGATCCATAATTCCGCTTAATGCGGAATATACGTCATTAATATACACCTTTGTTCTTGTAAGAGGTTAGCGACCCCTGGTGGCGAAAAATCCTGCATATTGTACCTTTAACTTCGGTAGGGTGAAGGGTGGGAATTCTGGCGAGCCACATGATTTTTGTCAAAGAGCCCCGTGTGGCTCACGAGCCACTGGTCTAAATGATTCAAGATTGTACTTGTTCTCAAGTCCAACAAACTGACCCAATGATCTGGTCACAATTAATAGTTGTGATGAAGATTATCAGTGAATGACAACTTGAATTCCTCACACAAGTTAATTTTATAGTTTCAGACTTGGAAACACATGGATCACTTTTATGACGGTTAAATGGACCTTTTGCATGCCATTTAAAGCTGGATAACTTATTGTAATTGTATTGAAAAGCGTGATTCTTTTGTGTTCCATGGAAGAAAGAAAGGCATAAAGCACAGGAACGACATGAGGACGAGTTCATTTTTGGGTGAACTATTCCTTTAAATCCACTCATGCACACACACAGCCATTTCCAGCACAAAGCATGACTCTGGGCTGTGATGGTCTGACCTCTTTTATTAGTTTTGATTTTGTGAGGGCTTACCTTATTTCACCTATATATGCTCATAATTCAGTGGCTTTCGCTTGTCCGCCAGCCTGTAGCTCTTAACATCTTGTTTGGTAGCATTTCAATAGCCCAACCTCTCTCTCTCTCTCTCCCTCCTGTCAGCATCCAAGCATGCTCTATTCATCCCTACTGTTGTGATCCTTAATCACACAGACTTAATAGGATGGAGGGTGAACGCGCACATTGCCATGGGTCGTTTTCATTATCTTTTTTAATTAATGTGACTGCCCAGCTACACCAAACATGAAGGAATGCATGCATGGCCATGCGCACATCCACACGCCCATGCATGAGGACTTAGCAGCTGTGACAGATTATAATGTGTGTGGGAGGTGGTGTACTCACAAACTTTCATCCGGAGAGAGACTGTCAGTGAAAAAGGAACAGTTCTGGTTCTCCATTTCTGCCAACCTGAAAAGAAAAAGCAAGCGAAATGAAAATGTCATTATGGAGCATGGGTCACAACAAAAAGGGAAGCATACAAAGGCAAAGCCACTGTGCACTGTAATTTGTTTGCTGGGCCAAGGACTGTGACTTCAAACACGAGGCAGAGGAATGGAATTGCACACAGGCGGAGGAAAAGACGACGACAGCTGTGACTCATCGAGACATCTCAGCGACTGCATAAGAGACACCTTAGAGCAGTTTCTCCAACCCAACATTCACATACTGTGATCCTATACCCTGACATTTCAGATACCGCGTACGACTAACCTGGATGGCAAATTATCATGCAACCGCTAAAGCAGTGCCTCCCGGCTTCACCCTCTGCTCTCTACCACCATGACAAAGCCAGGGGAGAATCTGTTCCCCTTTCACTTCATTTGCCACAAGAATTGTCACAAGAAACTCCTGGGTATTTTCACCCAAACCCCTTGCGAGTTTTCATTCCCTGCCACAAGTGGCACATTAAAAACAGAATATAAAAAAGATCTCCAACAAGCACCACAGCTTACATGTCATACCACAGACATGCCATGCCTGAACGTATACAGTATGTACGATTTATTGTCCACTCCAGCTCAAGTCCTTGTGACAAGACTCTGTGGTCATCTTGAAAATATTTTCTATGTAGGCAATTAGGCAGAAGTCCTATTTACTTGAATTTACTAATGAAATCTCCGAAACTGTCTCCAAGATTACATTTCAACAACATACACTACTGATAAAAAGATTAAGGTCGGTAAGAAGTTCTTTAAATTAAGTCTTGTACGCTCACCAAGGGTATTTGTTCACAACATACAGTAAAAACTTTGATATTATGAAATATTATTACAATTTAAAATAACTGTTTTCTATTTTAATATATTTAAGTGTAATTTATTCTAATTCAGCATTCTAATACACTGCTCAAGAAATACTTCTTGTAGAAAACGTCTCGGGTTATGACTATAACCCTTGTTCCCTGAGAAGGGAACGAGACACTGCGTCGAGAATCGACACTTTGGGGACGCTCCCTAAGCGTGCGCCTCTGAAGTATGAATGAAACTAATCCAATCCTGATTGGTGTTGCGTCGTGACGTAACATGTGACGGCATACCCGGAAGTATAAAAGTGACACTGTCACAACACACACTAGCCTCGCGATGAAGCAAGACGCTCCAAGGCCTCAAGGGGCGTGGCAGAACGACGCAGTGTCTCGTTCCCTTCTCAGGGAACAAGGGTTATAGTCATAACCCGAGACGTTCCCTTTCGAGGGAACTCTACACTGCGTCGAGAATCGACACTTTGGGGAACGAGTGCCCACTAGGCCACGCACCGAATAGGCCTGTCCCGGAGTGAAACTGTTTAGGCACTCAGCAAGGACTGAGCATGTGTGTGCCAGGCGTACTAGGAAGGTGGAACCTAATAAAAGTATGTGGAGTAGCCCAACCGGCTGCCTCACAGATCTCCTGTAGAGGAACTCCCGAAAGAAGGGCCCTAGAAGAAGCCATGCTTCTAGTTGAGTGAGCCCTCACGGCTAAAGGTGAAGGCAAATTGCGCACCTTGTAAGCCTCAGTAATAGCCTGAACAATCCAAAAACTAATAGTTTGCTTGGATGCCGGGAGCCCCTTCTTAGGTGACCCAAAACATACTAATAATTGGTCCGACCTTCTCCAAGAAGAGGACCTCTCAAGGTACACGCTCAAAGCTCTGACGGGGCAGAGCAAATTAAGCTTCTCTTCTTCTGCCGACACATTAGGTGGAGGATGGAATGCCTGAAGAACTGTAGACCGAGCCGTATTCGATACTTTAGGCACGTAGCCCGGACTCGGGTGCAAAAAAGCTTTACTCTGCCAGGGGCAAACTCCAAGCAAGCTGGTGTACCAGGGCTTGGAGATCTCCCACCCTCTTAAGTGAGGTAATAGCTAAGAGAAAAACCATTTTCAGCGTTAAGTCCTTAGGCGAAGCCGACTGTAGAGGTTCGAAGGGGGCCAGGGACAACCCTTCCAGAACTATTGCCAGGTCCCAGGCAGGAACCCTGGACCTGGTTGCCAGTCTCATCCTCCAAGTACCACGGAGAAAACAAATGACCAACTGGTGCCTCCCCAGAGGCCCATCACTTAAAGGTGAGTGGAAAGCCGCAATGGCAGCCACGTACACCTTAAGCGTGGAAGGGGAGAGACCCGCAGAGAAACGATCTTGAAGAAACTCCAGAACTGAAGCCACCGGGCAGTTAACTGGGTCCAACTCATGTTCTCTACACCAAGTGAAAACACATTCCACTTGAGGCCATATAATCTCCTAGTAGATGGAGCCCTAGAGCTAAGTATGGTTTCAACTACTCCAGCTGATAGACCAGCATTTAGGTACTGAACCCCCTCAGAGGCCAGACCCACAGCTTCCACAGCTCTGGGTGAGGGTGGAAGACTGTGCCCTCTGCCTGAGACAACAGATCCCTCCTCAGAGGAATCTGCCATGGCGGAGCTATCAGGAGTGATATTATGTCTGAAAACCATACTCGGGTCGGCCACCTCGGGGCAACCAGAAGTAGACTGATGCCCTCTTGACGGACCCTCTCCAGGACTCCCGGGAGCAGAGCGATCGGGGGAAGTGGGTACAGGCGAAGCCTCGGCCAGGCCTGTACCATGGCATCCAACCCCAGTGGGGCTGGATGTGTGAGGGAGAACCAAAGTGGACAGTGGGACGTCTCTCGAGACGCAAACAGATCCACTTCCAATGGTCCAAACCTCTCCCATACTGACTTCACCACATCTGGATGAAGTCTAAATTCCCCGGGCCTCAGCCCCTGCCTCGACAGGATGTCTGCTCCCTGATTCTGAACCCCCGGAATATACATTGCTCTGATAGAGAGTATTTTCCCCTGGGACCAAAGAATGATCTGATGCGCCAGTCTGCACAGAGGGCACGATCTGAGTCCCCCTTGTTGGTTCAGATAAGCTACCACAGACGTATTGTCTGATCGTACTAAGACATGGTAACCATTAATGTCTGGGAGGAAGCTCCTCAAAGCCCTGAACACAGCCATCATCTCTAGACAGTTTATGTGCCAAGAATGATGATGGTCCTGCCACAGACCCCTGGCAAAGCGGCCGTCCATGACCGCGCCCCAACCAGTGAGGGAGGCGACTGTCGAAACGGTTTTCCGGCGACATGACGCTCCCAGCACTGGCCTGTGGGATAGGAACCAAGGTTTCTTCCAAATTACCAGAGAACGAAGGCATCTGCGCGTAACTCTGACTATACGGAACAGATTCCCCTTGAGGGAAAAAACCCTTGGCTCTCAGCCACCACTGAAGGGGGCCTCATGTGTAGAAGGCCCAAATGTATAATGTTGGATGCCGCTATCATGAGGCCCAGCAGTTTTGAAACTGCTTTACAGTGATGGCCTGGCCTAGCTTTATCCCGGACACCATGGCCAGGATGGATTCGATACGAGCGGGAGACATACGTGCCTGCATTGTAACCGAATTCCATTTCATGCCCAGAAGAGCAGTCTTCTGAGCTGGTTCCAACACACAGTGTTGAGTCTCAACCCCCGATTCTAATCTTGACCAAGGACGACATCTCAATGCCGAACTGCCATTCCTCGAGACTGGGCCAATAAGAGCCAGTCGTCGAAGTAATTCAGTGTACGGATGCCCTGAAGCCTCAGTGGAGCCAGAGTCGCATCCATAAACCTACACATGAACATGTGGGGAGAGAGTGCTAGGCCGAACGGAAGAACCCGATCTAAGAGAACCAGCCTCTCGAGACTGGCCTCTGGTGGTTTCCGAGCACCCTTCTCGACTGCCTGAAGCGGAAGACCGGCAGGCTGTAGTCGATACGGTTTTCGTAACCATAACTGATGCTTGTTTTTTTTTTTGTTTTTTTTGAGGAAAAACGACGCATAGTGCGTTCGCTGGAAAATGATGCGGCCCGAAGCGTCATAGACGGCGGGCAATACACATCGTTTCCGGGCCCCGCTGCAAGAACCACATCCGATCCAGCCTCTCGAGACTGGTCTCTGGTGGTTTCCGAGCACCCTTCTCGACTGCCTGAAGCGGAAGACCGGCAGGCTGTAGTCGATACGGTTTTCGTAACCATAACTGATGCTCGTTTTTTAATTTTTCGAGGAAAAACGACGCATAGTGCGTTCGCTGGAAAATGATGCGGCCCCGAAGCGTCATAGACAGCGGGCAATACACATCGTTTCCGGGCCCCGCTGCAAGAACCACATCCGATCCAGCCTCTCGAGACTGGTCTCTGGTGGTTTCCGAGCACCCTTCTCGACTGCCTGAAGCGGAAGACCGGCAGGCTGTAGTCGATACGGTTTTCGTGACCATAACTGATGCTCGTCTTTTATTTTTCGAGGACAGACGACGCAGAGTGCGTTCCCTGGAAAATGATGCGTCCCAAAGCGTCATAGACGGCGGGCAATACGCATCGTTTCCGGGCCCCGCTGCAAGGACAACATCGGTTGCCCTGCTACTGAGTGGACAGCCCCAACATTTAGATCTACCATGCCAAACCAGTCCTCGGATCTGATTTGGTTTCCAATAATGGAAATTGTAAGACTTTTGAACCTGGATCTCCTCAAAGAACAAGTCAATAGCCTTAGATCTAAAATTGGCCTCAGTCCAACATCCTCCTTTGGAACTAAAAAGTACCGGCTGTAACACCTGGACTTTCTATCTGGTAGGGGGACACTCTCTATGGCCCCTTAACTCCAGTAGAGTCTGTACCTCTTGTTCCATAACCCGAGCCTGTTCTGGAACCCCTGCGGTCGGTACGACCCCAACAAAGCTGGGAGGTCGGTAACCGAACTGCAGTCCGTACCCATATTTAAAAATATTCAGGACCCATAGAGATAATTGGAAGGCGTTGCCATTCTACAAAATCTACTAAGGGAACCAGCCCCTTGGGACCGGCCTCGGGTGTTTCTCGAGCACTATTCTCGACTTCCTGAAGCAGATGACCGGCAGGAAAAA